TTCTGACCAAACGGCTGATCACTGTGTAATGATAGCTGTCTACCTATCGCCTTGTAGGACATACCAGCGGAATTAATGCCAATAATTTGCCATCTCTGCGCCTCCGTCTTCTTGCCATTCTTACTTAAAATGATTTTGCATTCAGAAATTCGGGACTTAAATACGGATTTGATGCACGAGAAAATAGTGCATATTGGACGTGAAGAAGGGAGCAAGTTGCACGTGGGGAAAAAAACGCGCCTGATTTAAATGTCACAACTGAACGCTCACATCCTTTTAATTATGTTTGAAATTATGAACATTGCTCAACATCATGAAAATTAAACCTTATTTTCAATAAGCTATCCTGGAAAATATTTGGGGGTGCTTAACTTTTTTCCAGGTGTATACAAAACGAGACAAGACATGAGCTGTGTAAAATTGGTGGCCGTTTCATTCAACAAGGATTGTTTTAGAACCATTATGACTCGTACAAACAACTCGTGTCATATTGAAATTCACTAAAGATTAAATGATCACGTATAAGGTTTAAAACTAGAACCAGTACCTAACTAGCCCGCGACAGAGATAACAGCTGCTTTGTCTACTTTTTAACCCACTGAGTAGTAGCAATTGCCAAAGTATTGCATAACTTATATTCCGTTGTAGAGTGTAAAACACCAAAAATGGCGAAGTGTGGTAAGGAAACGTCACGGTAAGACTCGCAATATTTGAAACACCTACCTCATTTCAACCAGCTTAGTACACGTTTTCTATAAAATTATGCACAATTGCATTTTAGCTACACATTATCTACTGGAACTAATGTGGGCGAGTGGCAACCGAATAGTGTGAAAAATAAAAAGTAGCTTACTAATGAGTTAACTCTGTGGAAAAGCATTTCTCATTGTTATACAGTTCATTTTTCTGGTGCTTTATATGCATTCATGAATTATGCAATTAATCATCAAGGAATATATTTTTCCAATTGATTAAAAGGAACCTGTATGATCTCATCTACGACTTTGTTTCATTAACAAACACAGGTATAAAAGCACTCGTATTGTAAATTTTGTCTAGTTTTGATCTTGTCTCTCTAGCCTTACAAGCTTAGAATTAATACATACAAAAATCTTTAAGTTCGGAGTTCCTCTTTCAAACTTGGGAAC